GTTCTGTAAAATTGTATATATGGTATTTTGTGTTGCATATGTATAATCTAATAAGTATCGTTGCTCATCTTATACTAAGCATCGATAATGTATCGTATTAATTTATTAGTGGATAACGAATTTAATTCAAATGTTTAGGATAAGATGAACACCGATGTTCATTAAATTTCATATATATATGACTTTTTGGAAGCTCGAGATATTTTTATATTATTTAAGTCCTTATAAGTAATGAATAATAAAAATAGGCACGAAAATAGTTCATGACAAGTCAAACATACTAGTAGTTTAATCTCCATGTCTTCCAACTAGAAATTTTTGGGGGATGCGATGGGACATGTTGGAAACTAAGATCAACTCATATGATATTGTTCGTAGAAATAATAAGAAGACACAAAGTATAAAGGTCGATTAAAAAAATAACACAAAGATTTACATGAGAAATGTTAATATCGAAAAAAATAACACAAAGATTTATATGCTATGCTAGATGGAAAAATGTACAGTCGTTAGAATATCTTGCTCATCCAAACCCACAATCATAGTATGAAAATTAACAATCAAATCTTTAGCATTCCACAATTATACTCTCCGTACAAACTACAAAGACAACAAGAAAAATCGAAACGCAGGACTTACAAATTCTCTTATCTAGCACGTACCAATTACAAGAGCAACACGTGTCAATAGATAATGAACGATTGTAATATTTTGCCAAATTATCCTTCCTTTTCATTTTTGTATTTTTTCCATCTAAGAAAGATTATCTTGTCATCTTGATTTTTTTTATTTTTATTTTGCTCTTTTAGCAATTTCCCCAACAATCTTCGTCGTTTCTTCTGTAGCTCTTCATCACGATAATTACAAAATTGGTAAATTTTTACGGTCACAATTATCGAAATACAAAATTATCCCACTTTATCATTGAGAGTATATAGTCTCAAAATCACAAATTATAATAATTTCATCGACTAATGTTGAACAAACTCGCTAGTGTACCCCCATTGTCCTCGACATATTCTATATCCAAAATCTCTGTAGATGTTCAAAGCACAGCCAAACTTGTGAGGAGAGGAGGAGCATGTGTAACACAATTTTAAGGTGCCTGCCTTTTGAATATTTTATGCTTCACGACTTGTCCATGTATTGTACAGTAGTGAGAATCCCATCTCTCATCTTTTCAAAGTCAAAGTCAACGTGGATTGTATAAGTAGCGGGAATCACCATCTCACATAGAGAAGTTGAGATCGTAAACATTAATACCAATAAGACAATTTTCGAACTCCTTCAATGTGAATTGTCGATTTAGCCCCTGTTTGATAACCAATTTATCCAAATTTTTTTCCTCAAACTCATTTTTAACTATAAATTTTCTTAATAAAATATTTTACATATAAACCAAAACTTTATTCTACTTTTAATCACATATTTTTTAAAAAATCACAATTAAAAAACTCACATTTTTATTGTTTTCGATAAGGGCTTAAAGGAGTCAAGACAAATGGTTGATCCACATAAATAAATAAATAAAATTCCCTACATGGTAGGCATTGTGACCAGATTTTAATAGGAGTGTATTTGTTTGACATGAAAAATATCATTTAGAAAAGAAAATATTTTATTTATTTTGAGAAAAACAAAAACCTATTTCCCCGGAAAAAAAATTCCTTAAAAGGAAAGAAAATTAGATATATTTTCAAAAGTTGACAAATATTTTCAATGAAAAATTAGCAATTAAACACTTCAAAGTAAGAATTTGGGTGAAAAATTGATATTTTCATAAAAAATAAATGCAATAAAAAAGGTTCTAATTGTGCTCTAATTTTTCACTACACGAGGTTCATTTTACTGAATTGCCATTACTTAAAGTAGAATGAATTTTACTTTGAGGGGCAAATTGGTAATTTCATTGACAGATTGTCTGGGAGAGATTTTTTACCCAAAAAAATTGATTTTTTGACCGTTATTTCACTATTCCAGCCGTCATATTTGACTTCTTTTCTCACAAATGGACCCCACTTTTTTTTTCTAACGATCAAAAAATTAATTCTCAAAATTACTTCCAAACAGGTTCTGAGTCCAGTCAAAAATAACAAGTGGCTTGTGACGGTAAGAATTTGTCTTAAAAATTGGCTAAGAGTAACTACCAAAGAGGGGCTAAAAAGTAAAAACCATCCCATCCCCTATTCAAATTCATTCCACTTTGTCGAGCAACGTTTGCTTTTTCGTTCATTTATCACGCGCATATGCTGATATGCTACCGACTCCATAATATATAAGAGAGACAGAGACGTGGACCGATCAGTTTTCTCTTCCTCGCTTTCACGTCTTCTCCAACTCTATTGCTCATCCGATCCCCATTTCTAAAGAATACCCAATTCTTGAATTTTAGTCTCGTTATGGAAGAAGCTAATGGTAAGGAATCTGTTAAATTTTTTTCGTAACTGTATTCCTTTTGCATTATTCGCTGTGAATATTCTTTCATTTTCTTTTATTCTTTTCCGGAATGAGATTCGCTATTTTTTCGTGTCAAAAGTATTATAATAAAAGTGCGCGATGGTGATGTCCAATGTTGTTTGATATTTTCTTGGAATTTTCACATGAAGTGGATTAATCTCTTTCTGAGTCATTAATCCCTTTTTGGGGTTATTTGATGTGAAATTGATCCAGATTCTGCAGAATTAGATCATAATGATGGGTGGACCTTTCTAATTAGGACCACCTTTAAGCTTCTGATCCGGTATCCAGAAGAATTTTTTGATTCGAACTAGTGAAAAGTTTATACTCTTAAACTAAGCCCAGATTCATGATTCTTTTTTCAGGTTCTATGTTATACAATTAATCTAGATCCAACATAATTATGTATATATGAACAGCGGTTTTCTTGTTTGAGCTGTATGCTGTCGAATTGGAAGTTTGAAATTGCAATTGAAAAATAGATGCTTTTGAATCAACAATAAAAAGTTCATGGACTAATTGAGGTAAAAGCACAAGCCTCGTTTTAGATGGAATCTATAATCTTCTGATACCCATGGAACGTTCTCTCAATTATGAGTTATAGGGCTGTTTGGAAGGCCTTTTGCTTTGTTTCTTGTAGAAGAGTTTCCTAAGGAAGCTAACTTATATGAGCTTCCATTAGAAGCTCTTCTAACTATATAAAACACTTTTAGAAAATTATCTAAATATGCTCAAAAGCCGCTTATTAGACTCTTACAATTTTCTACTTTACAAAAGCCTTGTCAAACAGCCCATAATTCAATAATAACAGACTAGGTACAATTTCAATAGACATTATTGCGAGGTCTCCATGTTTAAAAAGGCTTAATCGGGTATTGATGTGTTTTATCTCTGTGAGGTGTTAGCCTCAAGATAGAACAATAAAAGAGTCCAAAAAATATTTTTAAAAAATAAAAATTATACACACACACACACATGTTCATAATATGCCATGAACCCTTGGAAATAGTCCATCACAAATCTAATTAATAAAAGTCAACGTCGAACATACAATCAAACATAAAATAGATCAAGAAAATAGAAAATAATAAGTTCGAATATTAGTAATTATGACTACTCAGAAATTTCTTATATCATCACTATTAATAATGGAATCATTAACATCCTCATTATAAGTTTCTTTTCATTTGTTATTGTCATCCTTCAATTGCAATGGTGTATTCTCCTTCCCATTTTCCTTCAGTGTAGGTAGAAAAAAAAGAAAACAAAAGGCCTGTAAAACATTTTAGGTTATAAAGAAATAACTCAAAAGGCTAAGGTCATTAATTAAATGTTTGAAAAATGCAAGGCAAATGGGCGAACACCTTAGCCAGCTTGAAACTCAGGCTTGAGGTGTCTCACTAAGTCAAGATGTAAGCCTCTAGTAAAATGAGACATATGCCTCTCAAATGGCCTTAAAGATTCGGGTTTTTGGAGTTTGCATAAGCCTCAAATAGTTTTTAAACCATGCAGGGCTTTTTGCTACGTGATGACTGATGAGCTTATTGAGCAAATGACGGACTGTCATGGTTTTAGATTTATTATAGGCGTAAACTGGTAATTTATGGTTCTTTAAAAACTTCATCATGGCTGGTAATTAGTCTTGATTCATTATGAGTGCCCAAGAGGCTTATGCTAATATAAGATGTTACTATTTTGCTAATCAGACTAGTCACATTTGGATCATATATAGGTGACCACCACAAGCTAAATTTGGACAATGTAGTTATTTGCCTCCCTTGCGGCATTAATCGTGTTTAAAAGATGTAAAGGTTTACATTTTTGTTTAGTAATAATAATAATATGCAGTTTACTTTTCTAGCGTCCAATTCAGGCGTGCTCTCTAAGCTGCTGCAAATCACTAATGCTTAGTTAGATTGTAGTTTCTACTTGTGTTCTAATGGATTTTATCAGTTTTCACCTTGAATATTATGAACATTATTGAGATGCTTGATGCATTAGCTGACTCTCCTTTTTCTAATATCAGTTATTGACGCTAAAGATGGAACTATTTCTGTTGCTTCTGCCTTTGCTGGTCACCAGGAAGGTAAACTCAATTTCTTTTGTGTGTAACTAGTCTTTTTTGTTTCAAATTGGAATACAGTGAGATTTTAGCAATTATGTGCAGTGTTGTTTCCATTTGAAGTTGATATGGATACATGTGAAATTCTTTTTACCAGTCAAGATTCTATTGTTTTGTTGTTTATTTACATTCCTATTGATGGAATGGAGGCCAAGATGATGTCGTCAAGAGAAAACAATCCCACATTTTTACGAGGTAAATGTAGCCTCAATAGGATGTATATTAACTACAGATATTTACATGGAATGGGGCCCCGGCACTTTGATCAGAGATTAAATAATGCTCCCATAAGAAGAAATGCGATGTCCTCTTATAATGGGGATGGGAAAAGAAAAAGACTTGAAGCCACTAATAGGGATAGTTAAAAAATATCCAGTGGCTTGTTTCTTCCAGGAAGAAATAGGCCTGGATTGAGCTAAATTGGGAAACACAGTTTGAGGAGCTAATTGGAAATAGTCAGGACAATGTCATATTGAATTGTGTAATAGTGAGATGATATTCTGAGTATGTTGTTTTCTGTTTTACGTTCAACATTATTCTTCTTTTCTCTTTACCCTTTTTGTATATAATGCTTCCAGTATTTGCTGATAGACAATACAATTGGCTTTGTTAGTAGCACCTGCAATTTGACGTAGCCCTTTAGATGTACTTATGGTTAATTGATATCGCATTTTCATTTTTCTTCCTCTGATGTCATGCTTAAGATATCACTCCTTCAACTGTGCTATGCTTTGTGAAAATTATGGACACATAAATTGAATCACATTTATCTACTTTTGTGATTGTTGCAGCTGTTCAGGATAGAGACCACAAATTCTTGACAAAGGCAGTTGAAGAAGCCTACAGAGGAGTGGACAGTGGAAATGGAGGTCCTTTCGGTGCAGTAGTTGTTTGCAATGATGAAGTTGTTGTAAGCTGTCACAATATGGTTTTGAAGCACACTGACCCTACAGCTCATGCTGAGGTTACAGCAATAAGAGAGGTTAGAATTTTCTCAATTATTTAAAGTTCAATGTGGTTTTTATATGTTAACGGCTACCATTTGCTCATTTATGATATTTTTCTTTCTTTGATTGATTTCTGCTTAGTGCTGGAAAACATTGTTTTACCTGTTTATTTCGGAAATCCTGATTAACCACATCTTCAATTTTGATTGTTTCTTTTAGCGCCGTGTCTAACATACTATAATACCATATAGGACCCCCCCGCCCCCCCCAAGCAAATTTTAATATCTGGAACTGTGGATCCAATGGCTGATTAGACCCATCTTTTTATAAATGTAAATCTTCAAAAACTTTTGGGGAACGTTCCGTCTCCTGTTATATTACACTAGTATATCAGGCATTAGGTTTATGATATAGCACTTTTGAATTATATTTTGGTGCTCTGCATGCGTATGTGCTGACAAGAAATCTTTAAACGGCAATCTATGTTGGATCATCTATAAACATGGAAATGATGAACGGAACATCTATGACCAGAAAAGATTTCATGGATATTTATAGGAGATAAGATGGTAAACTTTTAGCCTGGAGGAGCTTGATAAAATTATGCTCTTCAAAAATAAATAATAGATACACATCAAATAGGCTACTTGAAAGAAATAATTAAATTGGGATAGTCATAGATGGCCGAGTGGTAAAATGCATGGAATTTACACGGAAGGTCAGCGGTTTGAATCATATCCCATGCGAATATTAAGAAGTCTATGAGGGCCTTGGGCATTTTGATTAAAATAAATATTTTGTTTATTTGTTTTAATCATTTTCGGATTATTTCTTGGTCAAACTAACCAATAAAAAATAGTTGTTGAGGAGAGTATTGAATTTTGTCTAAACCTGCATTTGATGGTCAATGTTCTTCATACCAAAAATGTCATCCATTTACTTCCCGAGATGATGCTTTGCAGATTTATATCATTATCACTCTATAAATTGTCATCTCATGCTTGCTCAATGATCCATCTCCAGGCATGTAAAAAGCTAAACAAAATTGAGCTCTCTGAATGTGAGATTTATGCTTCGTGTGAGCCATGTCCTATGTGCTTTGGTGCTATCCATCTCTCAAGAATTAAGGTTCAGTCAGCGAATCACCTTTTTCTTATTGCATACTATTATCATTTCGACCCTATGACATGTTTGGTAAGTTGGATTGGATTGCATCACATTCATATGTTTTTTTTCTTTTTGCTTTTTCAAGCAGAGGTTGGTATATGGAGCCAAAGCGGAAGCTGCCATTGCCATTGGATTTGATGATTTTATTGCAGATGCACTGAGAGGTACTGGGTTTTATCAGAAGTCTAACTTGGAGATCAAAAGAGCCGATGGTAAAGAGGCCATCATAGCAGAACAGGTGTTCGAGAAAACGAAAGCCAAATTTCAATTGTATTAAGGAAAATTTATTCTCTTTTCCACTACGGGTTAAATGGAACTGCAAGGGTGTAACACAAATAAAGGAAAATACGTGATATATTTGTACGTTTCATGGTCCACTAAAGTGTACACAATTAGGTTCGTGTTAAATTTGTTAACTTTGATTGCATGAGTGAGACAAATAAGAAAATAAATAGAATCGAGGTGGGAAAAAACCAAAATAGACGGTAGCGAAGATGCAAATATTACTTGATAACTTAATAATTTCATCTTTTATATATATATATATATATATATATACATATTCCATACATTATTGGTTGGAACTTGAGAGATGACCAAATGGACATGAATAGAAAGAAAAAATAGCATACTATGCACTCTTAATGGCTCAATCGCATTAAAAACTTCGTCCAAGTTTGGCCTTCTCCCCATTTGCATGTTTGGCTAAGTATAAAAACTTCATATGTAAATTTACTCACAAGTAAGTTTCATGAAATAAAAATAAATTCAAAAAATTATTAGCTAAAATTTAAAATACGTAAATTATTTATTTTAATACACATATATATAGCCATATCTGTATTAAAGGCTACCTAAAGTGAGAATCAAAATTTTATTTAAAGTATTTTGATAGTATCTTCTTTAGTTCAAATAATTAGCTGGCATATTGTATTATACATTGGTTTTAAGATACGTAGTAATTTCCTGAATTCATTAATTTATTATTAAAAGTTACATAGTTCGACCCAAATAACATCTAGAGGGGGGAGTAGGTGTTTGCACGGAATTTTAAACAAATCTCAATTAATAATCGCAGCAAGGTATGATTATTGATTAGTCTAGTCCAATTCACATTCACTATGTTGAATTACCGCAGTATAAAAAAATTGTTAAAAGGTAAAGAGCACAAAGAATTTAATGATGGAGAAACCCTAACTGGGTAAAACTTCAAGCATGAGCAAGTATGAATCCACTATAAACAAACACAACTTACAGTACCGCCAGATTAGACCCACACACATTCTTTTCTGACCTCCTATACTGTACTTCTTAAAGCCCTCTTGGATTGGGTTCTCCTGCACCTACTTTCGGCTTTTTATTTCTTCTATCTCTTGTGAATTCCCTGAAAACTCCCCATTCTCTAACGACCGAAACTTCGGTCACCTTCCCTTGTCTTCAACTCTTGACAGATCCTTTGGAAGCTTTTGGTTTTGGGGTTTGAATTTCAGGTTTTCATGCTTTTCAATTGCCAAAAATGATGAAGATTGGATTGTCTGTTTTTAAAGGATGCAAGTGTTTTCTCCAATGTACAATCCCAGGTTTTCGTGAAACGGTGCAAATATTTATATGTGAAATGTTTTGGAAAATTTGGAATTATAAAAATTCTCGAAAAACAAAAATTAAGGTTTTTTGAAAAAACTGTTTGTGTTTCATTTTTATCGTTAGAATTAAATTAATTAAAATTGTATAATTTAAAATAAACATTCTTCGAGCGATTGATATTTCAGATTCAAAAAGTCCACTTTATTACTTGAATACGACCCGTGCACTTGTGGTTTGCACTTTCTTAGCGAACAAGTTTTTAACATCATTGTCGGGGAGTGTCTCTACTTTGATTACCACTCTAGTTAATTTTAGTTTTAACAATTTTTCTTTATATGTTTTTTTTATGAATTGTTTTTATCTTTGCATATTTTAGCTAACCCTCATATTGTTAATTCATCTTGTGTTTGTATTCTCTCCTTATACTTTTCAGATTTTGCATTATTCCAACCTTGGTAAAGTAAAAAACTTTTTGCAATAAGTAATCTCTATATTGACTATGGATATATGTTTGAAGGTCTAAGATGTGAAATTTGTTAAGCGATGCATTGTATAGGGCAATGCTTATATTCGTGCACTGATGCCTCAATGTTGAAACTTATTTGGTTTTGACAATATTTGAAATGTCGAAAACAAGCACTGGACAATTCCGATGAAAGTTACATGCTCGAGGGAGATTATGTACTTGACGACTAGGGCGAGGACATCAAATTTTTGGGAGATAGTCCTCCATTTTTAAATGAAAGGGTCCTTGCAAAGTATTATAATGAACTTGTTAAGTTGGATGAATATGACATGTTTGTGAGAAATTACAAATATTGGGATAAATTTCAAAAGTGAGGGTATAATCCACTTGACAAAGTTAATAAGAAAGACTTATCATTGCCTGTGGAGTTTGATTGTGGATTAATCATTCAAGTCGATGAAATATCAACATTTGAAGAAGGCTTGAAGAGAATGAAAAATCAATCACGACGGAGCTAAACGAAAATGTGGTAATCAATGAAGAGAAAATCGACTTACATTCTTTCGACTTGATTGATTTCCAATAAATTGATTTTGTGATTAAGCCCGATGAGGATGTAGAGATCTTTATAGTTGAAGTTGAGTTGGATAGAAAAGACAAATCCTATTATATAGAAATGGGTAATGTTGAGTTTTGGAGATCAAATGAAGAAGTCGAAAAAAGTCAAAAGAAGAAAATGGGCAAGGCATTCAAAGCTTTCTTTAGGTGCCCATAATTCAATGACCAAAGTCGAGCTAAAGACTATAAAAAAACACTTGTTGGGAGGCAACCAAACTTTTTAACTTTTAATCTTTTTAATTAATTTTATGCATTTTTCTTATTTTTATTTGATTAGCTATCATTGTTTTTCGTACGTAATTTTTGAAGTCTTATATATCTATGGTTCCTCTCAAGTTTGAGGGTAAATTGGTATACAAAAAGGTCACATGCACAAGTTCATCAAGAGAATCCCAAGTCCAATTCAAGCATTGGTACTTCTTCACAAATATATAATTGGGGAAGTCTCATTAACCTTCCTCTTCTCTTTTACCTTGTTCTTTACACATTGAGGACAATGCGCGATTTAAATTTGGGGATAATTGCATTTAAATTGTTGTGTTTTGTGTTGACACGTTAGATAGCCTTGCCGACTTAGCATGGTTCGATGTTTGAAACTGTTATTGATTCATGAGCTATGCATGACCAAATATGCTATTTGTGCCTAAGTTTTTCAAAACTTGCTTATCCATGTGAGATCCCACATTACTTCAAGCACAATGGTCATGATTAATGTTATCTAGATGTGAAAATTTTTGATTGATGGAGACATTATGTAGAAGTGCATGATTCCGTGCAAACTGAAAATATTTATGTGGAGTGTTTTTTGCCAAATATAAGCTAGGTAATGACCATATACTTGGGATCTAAACCCCATTTCTGTTGTGCTTAAAACAAAAAACAAAAATAGATAAAAAAATAAAACAAGAAACCAAAAAAAAAAAAATGTTATTACACTTGTTTAATCCTAGGTCTCACTCCGTGGCTTTTTTGAGTTGAATTATTAAGTCCGTAGAAGTATCTCAAACTCCGATACCCTTTGGCCTAAATAACGGGGGAGTTATCGACCTAAAGTTCGCTACAAAGGTTAAGAAGAAAATTTAAGGGAGTGAGGTAAAACATGAGATTTGGCTAAAAAAATAAAGAAAAAAAACTTATTGTTATACATTTGCATTTGATATTTGAGCTTGGATAACTAGTGTGTTTAAATTATTTAGTATACACTTGTATTTGGAAGCACTCATTATTGGAGAATCATTACATGACTAGATGTTGAGATTGTCGGTTAGACCCAACCAAACAAGAGCGACAAAAGAAATGAGTGATTGGAGTGCAACATTTGGATTTACACCTTGGAAAAAAGAAGAAATATATCTATTTAATGAGTGCAAATCTCACGAGTGGGAAATGAAATATTTGACCACAAAGGGTCTAGTTGAAGCTAATTTGAAAAAAATTTCATCTTGACAACTTTTTCCTAATTTAGATGATAATTGAAAGTGACTATTCACACACTCCAATCGAACGTTGGATGAGCTTAAATTATTTTTTGCTAGCGTTATTTAGAGTATATTTTTGAATTGATTAAACAATTTTACACATTGATATTTTTTGCAAGATCTAATGTGTTGATCTTTATCTTATTTTACATGATTGTGATAGTTGATAATCTTGCTCTTAAGTTTGGGAGTATTTCATTAGTATATTTTTGCACACTCTTTTAATACCTAAATAAGCTTAAATATTGATTAAATAAACAAATTTCTATTCATAATTATGTATTTATTTTCTTTGTAGATAAAAATCACACAATGTAAGAGAACAAGGCAAAAGGGAATGAAAAGGAACTACAAGCGTACAAAATTGTGAAGCTGGGGATGAAAGTGCGCAAGTTTCAAAAGTTGAGGACAATAGACTGCAATTTATGGAGGACAAAATTGATATAAAATTTAAACTTTGGGGCCAAATTGCACAATTTTAAAGTTTAAGGACCTTAAGTGCAAATTTCTGGGGACTTATGTGCAAAAAAGGAAAAGAAAACAAAAAATGGGATCGACGGCCAAGAGTTGGCGCCTTTGAAATGGCGCCATTTTGTCTCTTTCTAAAACTTCAGGGATTTGGACTGCAATTTCTTTGGGTTTTAGTATAAAAACCAAAATTTGGCTTTTTCTTGGCTGGTTCCCGTTTCCTGGTAGCTTCTTCCTTTTTTTATTTTATTTTCTTTTTATCTCTTTTTCTTTCTTCTTTCTTTTCCTCATCTTCTTCCTTTAATTTCATGGTATTTTGGAGCAAGTCAAGTGCATAAAAGAGAATACATTTGAAAAAATGATTGGGGAAAATCAAGATCAAACTGTCAATAATCCAAATCCAAAAAGGGTTCTATCTCCACTCTTGCATTTTCTTTACTATTATCTCATATTTGTAATTTATTGTATGAAATATTCTAATTTTTTTTCATCATTTATATAATATAAGTTAGTTTATTGTGTTGGGATTTGTGGTATTAATTCAATCTAACTTTAATTAATTTTAATATTTTCTCTTTGCTGTTAAGTTACTTATTTTCATGTGTTTTTGCTATTATTATTTATTGCATTTTTATTTATGTGGTCTGTTGATTTCGCGAATTGGACCTCCACATGGCCAACCGAGAACCACTTTACGTGTTCCTCACTGTACACAATAACGCACGGTCAGAGCACACGGCCGAAACCAACGTGGTTGGTGGCGGTCGCATACACTCCGATGGCCAAGTCGGTAGTCGATGATCGGAACGATGC